CCCACGCGCCTGGGTAAAAGAGAAAATGAAACAGGCAGCTAAGGCTCTAGGAGCCAAGAGCTCATCTCTTCCTTACAAGAGTAAGAGAGGAGGAAGAGGGCTGGGGGCTGGGGCCAATCACGCTGCTCTTTGCTACTGCTGGGGGTGTGGCTGTGCCTTTGGCCCTTACCTTTAACCCCAGTCCCCAGTGCTGGGTGCCCACCTCCAAAGCAGGGGACCAAGGATAGCATTTTCTGGGCACCAATAAGTTCCATCTTGCTCCCCTTGTCTACCCAGAGAACTTCTGACCCCTCCCTCTGGACCACCTCACACAATGGCATGCAAGCGGGAGGTCCCCTTTGGTGCCCCAGCCTTGGCCTGCCAGGAAGGCAGGCAACACCATATGCCTGAAAACCACATGCTCCCCTCCCTCCAGCAGCCCCAGATGCCTCTGTGAGAGATTGAGAACTGTCTCTGGTTCCAAGCAGCATGTGTATCCGCACCCTGGAGCGTTCCAGGCCTTGGGAAGAAAGGAGAATCCACAGGCATTGTTTGCCGAGCCAGTGCCAGGATGCAATACCGACTGACCACAGGTGTTACCCCACATTATGTTATTTACCCTCACTCTGCGTGAGGTGGGCATCATTGTCTCCAGATTATGAAAACCTAGGCCCAGAGTCAGCAACTGGCAAATGGTGAAAACCCAGCCTCCAACTCCCAGCCCATGCTCTTCCCGCCATGGTCACGCTCGCCTCCCTCCCCAAGAGGCACAAAAGTCCCCCAAGCACCTTTAGAGCCATGAGAACCAGGGTTGAGATTAGCTCCCTACTCCAGAGGCTCCCCAGTGGCCCACCACAAGGCATATCCCCACCACGGCCCTGGGGGAGCTGCATAAAAGGGATCTGGGGGAGAGAGGAGTCTTATCACCAGACTCACAGAGGAAAGGTGTCAACCCAGGATAGACCCTGGATCTCGAGGTGTCACGCCTAATACCCTCCTTATTCACTGCCACCATCCTCCACACTAATGCCCCCTCCATGCAGGGGTGGGGAATCTGTCAGCCCAGGCTGGGTCCTGGTTGATTGATCAATGGTAGGTAGATGAGATGCTGCGTCCCCAGGAGAGAGGAAGGGTGCCATACTCTACTCATAAGAAAGGAGCGGGGGCATGGAGAGAGACTGCTTTCCTTGTTTTTTCTCTCCCCCATTCCCAGTGCTCAGACTTGTCCTAACCAGAGATGCAGTGATGCCCAAACATTCATGCATTTGCCCCTAACTGGGGAGGTGTGTCCCAGGCTGAGATGTCAAGAGCTCCTTTTAAGAAGCAGCTGAAAGGTGATCAGAGGAGCGCAAGGCAGAGGGGCTCCAGGCTGCACAAACTCATGCAGGAGAGAGAGGGGACGTGGAGGATGAGGAGGCTGGAGATTAGGGACCCACTATCCCTACCACCCCCCATCCCCATCCCATTCCTGTGATGTCTAGGAGATCCAGTTCTCCACCAAGCTTCTCCAAGAAGTGACCTACAGACTTCCTTGTTGTAACAGCTAACACATACAGTGCTTGTTATGCACCAAGCACTTGTTAAAGCGTTTTATGTATTCTGACTCCTTTAATCCTCAAAAAGCTGAATGAGGTAGGTATTTTCATCCTCAATTCATAGACAAGGCAAGTGAGAGGTTAAATCGCTTGCCCAGGATTATACAACCCACAAGTGGCAGGGCTGGGATTCAAACCCAGACAATCTAGTTCCAATATATATATCTATATATCTATACATCTATATATCTATATATCTATATATCTCCCTGCTTTTAACCATTACAGCATATCACCTGCTAGAGGAACAATATCTTGTTCTTTCATCCAGCTATGTGTTCCCTGTGACCCAGCCTCAGTTTCCCTTTCAGTAGCAGCCATGGATTCTCTATGGTAGAATCCCTACCAGTGCCTCCTCATCCATGGTCTGGGCCACAGCTAGAGGGGAGCATGTCCAGAAATGGTAGATGTCCCCTGCTCTAATTCCCTCTCTGGAAGACCTGCCACTCTGGGCTGGAGGGCCAGCCCATGGGAAAGGGCCTCACGAAGTCTGGGCAGCTGTACCCTCAGAACCGGGCTCTGAGGCTGGGCAAAGCAGACACAGCTGTTGGGCATCTCTGAGGTGGGTCTCAGCTGCCAGGGGTATGGAGAAAGGCCATTGTGAGTCCTGCCAAAGACCCAGCTCAGCCGGGTCCTGCCAACTCCTGCCACTGCCCCTGGGGGCAATTATTTTCCAGCGGGTCAGTGTGGAGGGAGCCCCCTCACCGGCCTGTTTGGGAGCTAGCTAGCCATGACCTGCACACCCAGGCCTTCCACCCAGCTGGTGTCCCCTGGCTGAGGCTGCCAGCCTGAGAGGTCAGCATGGGCAGTGGCCGACCCCCTTTCCTTCTCCCCCCCACTCCCAGCCCCCCAAACTTGCTGGCCGCAGCTGCAGTACTGAGGAAGCACAGGATGTCCTGAGCAGCCAGCTGAGCCCCCTGCCCCCCACCCCAACCTCCCGCTGACCCCAGAGGCAGGGCAGGCGGGCCGAGGGGCGGGGTTTGAGTATGAACAACTGGAGAAGAATGAAGAACCTCACCACCAGTTCCCAGCTCTGAGCAAGGAGGCTTCGGCAGAAACGGAGACCAGAACAGGGGTCGACGGGGTCAGGGACAGGTGAGAGTTACAGACTAGCAGAGAAACGAGGAGGGAGGAGACACAGCGGAGACAGAGCGTTGGAGCGAAATTCCAAGTCAAAAATACACATCACTCACCCAGACACTCACCAACATACTGCCTCCTACGGGAGGCTTCCAAGTTTAGATAGGAGGGCAGAGGTGGGTAAAGGGGCCAGACTCACGGTGGGAGGCAGGAACTCAGCTGGGGGTCCGTGAGCATCCCCAGAAATGGCTCAAACAACCCCAGCAGGGGCGGCTAGGTTCCTTATTTGCTTTTGGGGTGGGGATAGAGGCTGCTTCCTAGGAGCCAGGTCTCCCCAAGACCCCCCTCCCCCCAGCAGCCAGGATCATCTCAGCTCCTGAAGTCACTGAACACGGCTTCAGGTCCATGACTCGGCCTCTCGAACTCCCCTACCCCCTACTCTCTTTGCTCTAATTTCTCTGTCCTTCAAAAAAAAGAACCTCAAAAAAGAAGACAGGAGGAAGCTTGAGGGGAAAAGTCTATGACTGTATGTCCATCTAGGGGTGTGCCTGACTGCACAGCTACACTGTGTGCATCCAGAGTTGTAGACCTGTGACTCTGTGGGCCTGAGCCTTGTAAGAGGCCCTGGGACTGTGTGCAAATGAGTGTGTACCTGTGTCCAGAGTTCCCACAGTCAATCAATTAACAAGTATTTACAGAGCACTTCCTATGCTAGGCTCTGGGTGGGATCCAGAGCAATTCCAGAGATTCTCCCAGGTCTCAAGGAGCTCACCATCTGGGGGGGCGGGGGGGGGATGACAAGCGAAAGAGACGGAAAATGTTATCGTGAATGCATGCCTTACACCATTATGGGAGCAGGGGTTTTTGTGGTATACAGAACCTCAGAGAGCCACAGTAAGAGTCCAGGAAAATACTTGTTGCTAAGTTGTGTATCCGTGTGTTGATGTGTAACTGCATTTGCGTTTGACTGAGTGACAGCGACTGATACGGCAAGGAGATGATGCCTGTGTGACTGGGCTCATGCGAGCACGTGTGTGCCTGTGAGTGACAGGGTCTTTTGTAATGTACGGCTGCGTGCAATTGCTCTGTGTTCATGCAAGCGTGCGATAGTGACTTTTTCTGTGTGGGTGACAGCGACTCCTCCTTGCTGTGTGTGACAGCATCTCCATGTGACCCTGTGCATGGGTATGTGCATGGGTTGGTCCCCCTGCTCTTGGTCTCCCGTGGGTGTGTCTCACCCCTCTGAGCTCCCCTGTGCGGTGGCAGCCAGCCTCTTCCCTTGTCCCCATGTGGGTGTGTCCAGCAGCTCCTGTCCTTGAATCCGCCTGGGTGTCCCTGGGTGTGCATGTGGCTGTCTATGTGGGCACATCTGTGTGTCTGCATGTCACGTTTGCTTCCCCCCTCATCTTGGACAACAGCCGCTTCATCCCTCCCCCCTCCTGGGGCCAGAGCCAGCACTGAGGTGGGCTCCCATCTCACTGACTTTCCTTCTGAGACCTCCACCCCTGGAAACGCGTGGCTCTCTTCATTGCCCCTATCATCCCCCACCCCGCAGGCTTTTCCTTCACACTGGACTAGGGAAGGCCCCAGGCAGAGAAGGGGCACCAGAGACACGTTGCAAGGGGAGGGAAACGGGTGGCACACACAACACGGGTCTATTCCTCCCTCTCTTCCCTAACCGCCCTAGCTGGCAACTCCCTTAATCATCTAGGAACCCTCAGATACACCCCCCGCCCCGCACACACACACCCCCCAACCAGTCGCGTTTTTGCAATTAGGAGTGTTGCAACCAGAGAGCCATGTTCAATTGGGGAGGCGGGTGAAGGGGGGGGACTTCCTCCTCCCGGGGCCAGTGCAAGCCCACCCCCCACCCCACTCCTACCGCCCTCCGCAGCTGGAGGCAGCTTTGCAAAGGCCACTCGGCCTCGGCCTGGGAGGCTAGGGGTGGGAGCTGGGGGGGCAGGCCTCCGGCGCACCGTAAACAAACCGCGGCGCGGCGGGCGGGGGAGCTCCGGCGGCCGGCAGCGGGGCCGGGCCCGGGAATGCGCAGCGGACGGGCCGGACAGAGGCCGGGCGGGCCCTCGAGGGGGAGGCCCGGACGCCATCTCCGCCGGCGAACCCCGGGGCCCACCGACCTCCCAGCAACGCCTCTCTTCCCCAGGGCGTAAGTTGCAAGCTCCCGGCCAGTGACAGGGTCACCGGGGCGTCCGGGAAAGCTGAGGCTGGCAGCGGGTACCCCTCTGGCGCCCCCAGCCCGCCTGGGAGCTGGCCAGAGAGCCCCGCGGCTTTGCATAATCAATCGCGATGCATTTGCATATTAATGCCCCCTCGCTCCCTCCCCCTTACCTCGGCGTGGCGCGCTGGACCGGGCTGGGCAGCGACGCGGGGGTCTCAGCGCCCCGTGCCGGGGGCGTCCATGGGGGGCCGGTGGGGCCCGGGCCGCCCGCCTCCTGCGCCCGGGTGTGAGTGCG